TTTTCTCTTATACCTAGAAAGAGCTCTAACATGCCACATTGAAACTATTAGAGATTCTTCTATTATTAGTCACATTTATAATAAATATATTCCCAAATTAAGACAGTCTCCTTGAAAGCAGAGGCTATGCATTATAGATCTTCATTCCAAATGAGTCTAATTCAGATTTTTTAACAGGAAAAGCATCACTGAATATTTGCTTCATACAATAAATGAAAAAATGATGCATTTTCCTTTGAGGGAAATGATTAGAGAATCTGGTAGAATAAGAGAAATACTGAAAAGGGGAGCATTAAGAAAGAAATTCAAGATGCATAGTCTTAATTTCCTCAGCAAAATGATGACTTCATTAGTTCCAAGTGAGCATAAAAGGGAGGGTTTGGGGCTTATGGATTAACAGTGATTGAAACAGCCAAGGTTGAGGGCAGAAGGAAAACCAGATTTGGATGAGACATGAAAGTAAGAAAGGAGAGATGAACCTGAATGACCTCTGTAGAGGTAACCTTGAATAGAACTCTGGCCAGAGCTTAAAGTAATCTTGAACTGAGAAGGACTGGTTAAACTAGTGATATCCCTAGTCAAAGATCAAATTGTTGGCTCCCTTCATATTTGTGCACAAAACATAGAATAAAGCTTTGGTCTTCTGATGGCCTTCAGAAAGTCAGGCACTGTTCTCTATGGAGAGCTGGCTCAATTTCACTCGGTCATAACCATTGGAATTATGCATACAGGATTACGAAAATCTTTCTCTTCCCACACTAAAGAACTACTGAAATTGCTCAGTGCAAAGTAGAAGCCCAATCATTTTTTTAAAAGTGGCCAGAGTAAGGCCACTGTAAACCATAGATTTATATGAAATAGAATTCATGACTGCTTATGTTCTTTTAGATAGAGGATTATCAATAATACTTAGCTTGGGTAATGTATTTGTCATTTCAGTTTTTTTTTTTTTGAAAGTCAAATTCATAGGATAAATCCGTAGCATAACTATGAGTGAGATTAAAATACTGTGACATATTTCCACATTATTGAATTCCATTAAACTGTTTTAGAATTTTTCCTGCTTTTCCTGATAGAATAATTGTGTACAATGGAGAAAACTCCCTCATTTATTACAAACTCTAGACTAATACCCAATTCATTTTATGCGACCTTGAAGAAAATTACAACTTACACTTGTGAAAACTTGTCCACTGACGTTAATCATCATTTTACATAATATATATCACTAAATATATCAGAATAAACTCAGATAATTATTTTGTTCTGCTTTAAGGTAAAACTTCCATCCTTTAAACAACTGAAACACTTAGTTCAATCTTATTTGCCCCTGGTGAAAAAAATGTAGATTTTACTACCCACTACATCACTAATTTAATTTATGACTTGCATAATGTTTCTGCTCTCCTACAATATTTCACAACAGTCAATTTAAAGATCTCATCACCTGATGTAACCCATGTTTGCAGCTTGTTGTTAAAAACACTCAATAAACCACAAGTGGAAACAGAAGCCAGTGATAGGCCCTTCTTCGAGATTAAAACAACAAGAATGATGAAGTGACTTGTCCTTTGGTAGAATAATTCCTTCCCGTTCTCTCTACTTTCCTTATTTTTCTCTCCACAGAACTTATTTTGATGTCTATTCAAATGTGGATATTTCCTAATTTTGGTTAGGACGCTTCAGCTCAAAACAGTTATTTCAGGGTATACTTTTCTGGACATTCAAAAAATAGCTTATGTTCGGAATTCAGTTTATGACTTAAAATAGAACTTTTGAGATGCACTCTAGTATCATTCTGAAAAAAATGACACTGAATCCTGCAGTAGGCCAGAAGGGGATGAAGGGAATATTGGCAGAGGGCCAGAGTTTTGTGTTAACTTCAAGAGCAGAGGTGATTTTTAATACTTCAACATCATTCATGAAATATTATATATATAATTTGTACTCACAATAACAAGCACACTCTCCAAGGAAACATTAAAATAAATAGCTTCTTTAACTCTTTTGTACCTTGATCATATCTTATTTTGATGAACCCATAAAAAGGGAAGGTAAGATTGATGTTGGACAGATCAGTAGGGCAATCATGTAGTTTATTGCATATTTATGGCTCTGAAAGATCAAAGGATGTTTTTACGCACATAACTTGGCAAATGTATTTTACCACGTTCAGATATGTTCCAAGTGACTTCAGTGGGGAAGTGAAAAGATCTGGCGCTATGCCTGTAGTGCTATTTGGCAAGACATTGAATGATGGTGGGATTCGAGAACACAGTAACATACTGTATTACATGTATATGTACACACACTCTATATATGTATGCACACATTCACTGGTATATAGGAAATGTGTGACTGTATACATCCTCTATGTAAATATGCTCAACTATTACATAATTAGATGAAATAGTGGTAATTAGATGAAATAGTGATATCTATGTGTATCAGTAATACTCTACACTCATAAGGGGCACATTATTCTTCCTTATTGCAACAACTTTAAGAAAATTTCAACTAAAAATATTACCATTAATACACCACAGATTGTTAATATAGTCTCACACACTTTTAGTTTAGCAGTCTACTGTTTGAAGAATGTGCAAGTCGAATCTCCTTACACTATACACTATAGGGGCTAAGGTGCTAAAAGAAGATATGGCTCCTGTCTCACAAACAGGCCTCCCAGTCTCTTACATGACCTGGTGACCTCAACCTTACCCCTACTCCTGCTCCAGCCAAAGTTTGTTATATATATGATGTGTGTGTGTGTTGAAGGCGGAATTCAGTCTGAATGTTATTTATCATTATGAATTCAATTATTAAGGCTGTCAAAATGGTGTGGTATCCCATCAACAAAAATTCTTTTGGTTTAAAATCAGAATTTGAGAAAGCATGGCTTTTGATTTTGTTTCTATGTTGAAATTATAGCTTTTCTCTTCTTAAATATCAATAGATTATAATTACAGTATTCCAGCATTTCTCAAAGCATGATGCAAAGTATATGTTAATTATTTGAGTCACTGATGAAAGAAATCACTTCAGAAAGAATTCCTCAATGAAATATATTTGGGGAATACTGGGCTAAACAACTTTAAATAGATTTCTATAGTATAGAGAGTATGGTATAGGATGTTTCCTAGAGGCTGCTCCAACATTTCTCAACGTGATTAGAGTAAATAATTCTTTATGCCATGAATCAAGACCACTGTGTAGAACATACCTCAGTAAACCCCTGCTTACCTGATGGGTCTACCATTATAATAATAATAATTTATAATTTACTTACTACCAATTATGAGTGCACACATCCCCTTAGTTATTTTACTAATCATTTTCCTAAGTGCTCTTATTAAATTATTGAAACATTCTACCGATTAGAGAAAGTGAAATTTGGAGCTCATTAACTTGATTGGGAGTAATAGACTAGTTTCAGAGTCAGGATTTGAACCAGATTTGCCCACTGTCAAGGGCTATTTGGATAACCATATCACATTAGAATGTTTGTATTCAAGTATGAGTCATCACTGGATTAGCTGTGGTGAGGAAAAAACAAACTCCATCTACTGCCATGTTCAATACCAAGTCACTTATTATTTGTTCCCAGTAGCTAAGTGTTTCCTGCTCCTAGATATACTGCCTTTAAAGTTGATGCTGCAAAGATTGGCCTACATTCGCAAGACATCATGGCGAAAATAATCAAAAGACAAACTTTAAATGCTGACCAAGAGTAAAAGAGAAATACTGGATATTGTATAGAAAGAAACTAGAAAGTTTTGCCATTAAAACTTGGGGCAGTTTTGCCATTAGAACTAGATTGGGGCAACTAGTACTTATTTCTTGGTCTAATATTTTTTTTGAGTTGGAGTCTCACTCAGTCGCCCAGACTAGAGTGCAATGGCCGCTCCCAGACATCGCAGCCTCGCCTGCTGGGCTCCGGCGATCCTTCCGCCTCAGCCTTCCGAGTAGCCGGAATTACAGGCATGCACTACACGCCCCGCTGATTTTTTGATTTATTGTAGTGATGAGGTCTCGCTGCCCAGGCGGGTCTCGAACTCGCGGGCTCAGGCAATCCACTCACCTCAGCCTCCCAAAGGCGCGGGATTACAGGCTGAGCCACCGAACCCGGCTTCTTGGTCTAATTTTATTAAAACAAAATGACAAATTCCTTGATTTTTCCTTTTATTCTTATCTTTTTTTTTTTTAAGTGAGTAATTTGGGAGGTTGAGCAAAACTGTGGGTCAGCATATGAACATCCATATTTTTTTGTCTGACTTTGGTATCCCAGCATGTGAAAGGTAAAGGTTTGTTTGAGACTTCATACCACACATCCTGCATGTATGCATACATCTTAAGACAAAGGTACTGTTATTAGATAGCCTCAGATGTCAAAATTTCTGCTTGCAAGTCATTTGTGCATAAATAAAAGATAACTCCAAATCCAGGTCTGAAAGCAAAATCTGTTCTTCAGATAGAATAGGTAATCCAAATACTTGTGTTGAACTTCACAAGCTTGAAAATGAAAAATAATTTCAGATTAGAATTTTGTACAGCTTGATTGATCACAGAGCTGGAGATGTTAAAATGTGCTAATATATACAGAACTTGCCAACACCATGGAGAGAAATATTAGTATTACTTGGAGCTAGGGCAATTCAGGGCTTGTCAGTGTATGACTATTGCTATTATACATATGCATACACACACACACACACACACACACACACTCACACATATATATCCACATGTATATTTACATATATTATACACATGCATCTTGCATATATATATATATATATATATATATATGCATATACACATATGATATATTTGAATTGTGTGTGGTGTGGTGTGGTATGGGATGTACTTAAAATGTGCTTCATGCGCTGATTATTTCTAGAATTAAAAAAAAAAATCCTGAACCCAGCTCTCTTCGCTGCCTCTCCTCGTCTCGCCCAGGGCAGCCCCAGTTCGGGTGGTTGACACAGAAATTAGTCACCATGTCAAGCAAAAAGACAAAGACCAAGGCCACCAAGGAACACCCTCAGAGTGCAACATTCAATGTATTTGCCATGTCTGAACAGTCACAGATCCAGGAGTTCAAAGAGGTCTTCAATAGGATTGATCAGAACAGAGATGGTTTTATCGACAAGGAAGCGATATGCTTGCTTCTCTAGAGAAGAATCCCACTGATGCCCATCTTGATGCCATGACGAATGAGGCCCCAGGGCCCATCAATTTCACCATGTTCCTCACCATGTTTGGTGAGAAGTTAAATGGCATGGATCCTGAAGACGTCATCAGAAATGCTTTTGCTTGTTTGATGAAGAAGCAACTGGCACCATCCAGGAAGATTACCTGAGAGATCTGCTGACAACCATGGGGGAGTGGTTCACAGATGAGGAAGTGGACGAGTTGTACAGAGAAGCATCTATCTTTTTTTTTTTTAATATTTTTTTATTATGATGCTGTGGGGTACAGTTAAGGGTTAGGTATACAATTACGTTCCATTCAGGCACCCTGTTGATAAGAGGTGTTTCCCCATCCCCAGACAGATGTTTGCTACTGTTAATCCCATCCCCCCCATAGTTTCCCAGTACCATCAGTCATTTTCTTATAGTATTACATTGGATGTTCAAGGTCCATTATATGAGTGAGAACATGTGATACTCGGATCTTTGTTTCTGTGAGAGGTCACTCAGTATTATAGACTCTAGCTCCATCCAGGTTGCTGCAAAATTCATGATTTTGTTCTTTTTTATGGCTGCGTAGTATTCCATTGTGTATATGTACCACATTGTTTAATCCAGTCTTCTTTTGATGGGCAGCATGGTTCCTTCCAGGTTCTTGCTATTGTGAAGAATGCTGCGATAAACATACGTGTGCAGGTATCTTTTTTATCGACAAAAAGGGGAATTTCAATTACATCGAGTTCACGTGCATCCTTAAATGATGGAGGGAAAGACAAAGATGACAAAAAGAACCTTCCAGTTACATTGTCTTACTCTCTTTTTTATTTTTCAGACACTTCCCCTGTCCTTAAAGAACCTGTTGGATGCAACTTAGTTTCACAGTTTTGCCATTTTTTTTTTTTTTTTGGTGTGTTTATTGCAGACCTTTCTGCCACCTAGCACTTGTATAATCAGACTGGAGATGGGGATGAGGTTGCAAATTGTATTGAAAAAGAGATTGTGAATAAAAATCAACAAATGTGAAAGTAAAAAAAAGAAAAATCCTTATTGATGTTATGTGTTCTCCCTTCCCCTAGCAGTATTCTACTAATGCCAATCCCTTTTTTATAGTATTATGGTAAATGTTCAGGGTCCATTTATGAGTGAGACCATGCGGTCCTAGTTCTTTGTTTCTGTGATAGGTCACCGAGTATTATAGAATCTAAATCCATCCAAGATGCTGCAAAATTCATACGTTTGTCCTTCTTTATGGTTGTGTAATATTCCATTAAAAAAGTGGGGACAAAAGTGAGGCTGAAATTTTACCTGTATGATGACCACTTGTATACCTAATCCTGAATTGTACCCACATCTTTAAGATCAAAAAAAAAAATACAACACAACTCAAAAATCATTGGCCATGACCAAGTAGGCCTCACCAGTGGGATGAAGGACTGGTTCAACATCTGCAAGACCATAAATGTACTTAAATGCACCAACAGATATAAAAACAAGAACCACACGATTATATCATTAGACATGGAAAAAGCTTTCGATAAAATTCAGCCTCCCTTTTTGATAAAAACCGTTGAACACCTCTAGGCATAGATGGAACATACCTCAAAATATTAAGAGCCATCTATGAGAAACCCACAGATGACATATTGCTAAACAGACAGAAATTGGAACCATTTCTCTTGAAAACTGGAGCAAGATAAGGCTGCCCACTCTCACCCCTCTTGTTCAATATAGTATTGGAAGTGCTAGCTAGAGCAATCAGATGAGAGAAGGAAATCAGGTGTATCCAAATAGGAAAAGAGGAAGTTATCACTCTTTGCAGACAACATGATCCTATACTTTGAAAACCTAAGAGAATCTGTCAAAAACTTCCTTGCACTGATAAAGGACTTTGGCAAAGTCTCAGGGTATAAAATAAATATACAACAACAATAAACAAACAGAAACCCCAATGAAAGCACAATCCCTTTCACAATAACTACGCACAAAAAAAGTGAAATACCTTGGCATCTTCCTAATCAGAGAAGTGAAAGACCTTTACAATGAAAAATACGAAACACTATTCAAAGAAATCAAAGATGGCACAAACAAATGGAAAAAAATATTGCATGCTTACAGATTGGAAGAGTAAACATTGTTAAGATGTCCATCCTACCCAAGGTAATCTACAGATTTAATGCAATGCCCTTTAAAGTACCAGCATCCTTCTTTTATGACCTGGAAATGACAACACAGAAATTCATATAAAAACATAAATGACTATGAATAGCCTAAAATATTCTCAGTGAAAGAAGCAACATTGGAGGTATCACACTTCCAGACTTTAAACTTTATTATAAGGCTGCAATAACCAAAACAGCCTGGTATTGGTACAAGAACAGGCATATAGACCAATGCAATAGGGTAGAGATTCTGGAAACAAAACCTTAATTTCTCAGTCAGCTCATCTTCAACAAAGCCTCCACCAACAATTACTGGGGAGAGGAGAGTCTATTCAGTATATGGTGCTGAGAAAACTGGCTGACAATTGGCAGAAGATTAAAACAAGACCCCTACCTATCACCATACACAAAAATCAACTCTAAATGGATCAAAGACCTAAATGTAAAACCTCAGACTATACGAAGTTTAGAAAATGCAGGAGACACCCTTATGGAAGTTGGAACTGGCAACCAATTCCTGACTAAAACCCCAAGTGCCCATGCCATAAGAGATACAACAGACAAATGGGACCTCATCAAACTGACAAGCTTCTGCAAAGCAAAAGAAACCATCAAAAGAGCAAGGAGACAGCCCACAGAATGGGAAAAAATATTTGCCAATTGTATATCTGACAAAGGCCTAACATCCATGATCTACAAGGAACTCAGAAGTGCCAAAAAGAAAAAAAATCCAAACAAACAGTCCTATTACAAAGTGAGCAAAAGCTATGGATACTTCTCAAAAGAATACATATAAGCATCCAAGAAGATACATGAAAGAAATGCTCAGCCTCACTAGTCATCAAAGAAACGCAAATTAAAACCACACTGAGATACCACCTAACTCCATCCAGGCTGGCCATTATCAGTAATTCAAAAAGCAACAGATGCTGGAGAGGATATCAGGGAAAGGGAACACTTCTACCCTATTAGTGGGAGTGTAAACTAGCACAACCTCTGTGGAAAAGTTTAGCAATTACTAAAAGAGTTAAAAATCGACCTTCCAAATGACTCTGCAATCTCCCTTCTGGGAATATACACAGAGGAACTCAAATCACTCTGTGAAAAAGATACCCACACACGCATGTTTATTGCGGCATTATTCACAACAGCAAAAACACGGAACCAACTGTGCTGCCCATTGAAAGAGGACTCGATTTCTAAAAATGTGGTATGTATACATGATGGAGTATTATGCAGCCATAAAGGACAAAATTATGAACTTCGCAGCAACTTGTATGGACTTAGAGTCTATAATACTAGTGATCTATCATAGAAACAAAGAACTGAGTACCATGGTTTCTCACTCATAAGCAGACCTTGATTATTATAATACTGTAAGAAAGAGAATGGCAGCGGGAAACTGCCAGGGGAGGTGGGGACACACCTCATCAACAAGGGTACCTGCATAATGACCATTTGTATACCTGACCCTGAATTGTATTCCACATTTTTAAAATTAAAAAATAATAAAATAAGAAATTAATTAGGAATCAAGAAAATGCATATAAAACATGGAAAAGATGAAAATTCATAGATCATGCAAAATTAAAAATAAAAAGCAGGCAGTTCTTGTAAGAAAATATAAATAAATAAAAATTAAATACTAGAAAAAAACTCGAGCAGTTACTATTTACTAATTGAATATGTGTTGCTTTAAACTATTTTTATTCACAGATATAAACTTGTATCCAAAGGTGTAGCAAAATCTATATTTAAGAACAGTATACTCCTAGAAGTATGAAACATATATCAGTGTTCTCATAGAATTAAAAAGTCATTCTATAGGTGAAATTTTTAACTAAAACAATGCTGAATTCCTTGAACTCTATATGAGTTGAATTCATATGCCTTAAGTAATGTTCTTACTATTGAATATTTCCCCTTTTCCTTTTTTTAAGGCTTACCTGGTCCCATTTTTATCAAATTTTAATGGGGGAACACAAATAGCAAGATGGACTCTACTTATTTAGTAGATTCTGACCATATGAGAGTACAATAAAGGCAAATTTATGTTATTTTAAAATTAATCTTATAATCACTCTTAGTTTGGGCTTCAGAAAATAATAAAGAAATAAGAACTACATTTATTCAAATCACCTTTTGTTTTAGAAGCTGAGCCCCTTGCTCAGAATGAACCCATGCTTGGTCCAATGCTCTGCTGTTGTTGTCTTGAAATTCTTAATAATTTCAGAACAAAGGGCACTACATATTCATTTTACGGTGGACCCCACAGATTATGCATCCAGTGCTGTTCATAAGTTTTATATTTGTTTTACTCAAATGAAATCTCAAATGCTACTTTTGAAGTTATGTCTATCAGTGTAGCCACCCAACTATATGCTTGCTGAGTCCTCCTCAGGAAGACAGAACTGTTCTTAAGAAAGTAGATGTATCTTAATTCCTCACATAATATGTTTCAAATCAAGTGGGTTAAATAACAGGACTCAACTCCTATCTTTCTATCTCACTATTGCCTGTTTGCACACACTGAATTCAAAGCCCTGGACAGGTAAAAACGTTGGCCACATAGTGAGATTTTAATCATAGATACAGACACCGTCAAACAAACCAGGAGACAGTTATCAATGCACTGCTATTTTCCTATCTGTCCTAGTGCAGAAAATTGAATACCCAAGTGCTTGGCCTACAATCATAGTGCATAATTCCGATACTGAGAGTGATTCAAGAGAAAGTATCTTAAAAAAATCATGTGGCAAAAACATTTTAGGGCCATTTATCTGCAACTGACTTCATGCTCACCTGAGCCAGGCAATCACTGATCTCCAAATTTGCAGACAGATGAAAATAAATTCTCTTTATTAAAGAGAAGTTATGGACAAACACTGGCAAGGGTTATTAAAGGGAACAACACATAGCCTTTACACACTCTGATGGAGACTGATACTAGTAGTTTTAAATCTGATCTGGCAAAATACTCATCATATCAAGGAAAGTGTTACTTTTTGTTTGCTTCCTGCTGAAGAACTAAAACTCCTAGCTAATAGGGCTATTTCTACCAGCATTCACAGTGCCCAATCATCAGGACTGAGAAGAGTAGAGAAATCTGATAATGCCAGCAGCGTAAAACATCTTCCTTAACATGGGTATTTTCTGAGTGCTGCTGGTATATTTCACTATCTAAAGAACTCGTGATTACAGAAATATCTGCCTAATAGAGAGATTCAGTTGTGACATTCCTACTTTGAATTGGACCAGAGTCTAAACCTTTTTCGTTCTTGGCTTTATAGCAGCCTCTGATTCTTACTCCTTCAAATATCCCCGCTGCCTTCTTGGGCCTTCTCGTTTCATTCATACTGTGTCCTTCTGAGGTCTCTGCTTCTCTCTGGGGAATCTGTGGGCCAGGTCTTGCTTTGGTAGCTGAAGGCCCCTAATGAGGGTGGCACTGACATCCCAGTCTCTAAGAGATTGCCTCGGCCACATGGTCACCTCAGTGCTTGCTTGCAGACAGTATCTTCTCACCCCTGTCAAGCGCTTTTGTTGAGTTCAAAACCTTATTACAATTAGAGTGGAAAAGCTTCACTGGGTTATTTAGATGTTAT